TTTCTGATGAAGCCCCACGGGGAGGCATGAGCGGCTTCGCCCGACCTCAAGGGTCCCAGCCGCGTCGTTGGAGTTGTCCACACAGCCCCCGCAGCAGTGGCCTGCCACGTTTCTGGTGACTGCGTACAGGTGCCTGTGATGCGATGGCTCTGCCCTGTCCTCTGGAGCGTCCTTATTGTAAGTGTGACCCACAGGCTGGACCTTCGAGCTCGTTAGAGACGCAGGGCTTCAGGCTCCACCCCACCCGCCCAGTCAGAAGGTGCGGGGATTGGTGCTCCTGTATGAGACCTGCTGACCCAGTGTCCCATACAGAACCATGTGCACGCATCATTCCTGAAAGACCTTGGTGGTGGAGTGGTTAGGCGCCCCGGCTGCGAAGGGAAAGGTGGGCGTTCTCAGAAGACGGCTGGGGCAGACTCGGAAACCCCAGGGGCAGCTCTGCCCTGTCGATCAGCTCACTGTGGTGGGAATGGGTTGGATGGCAGTGGGTTGGTGTGACAGTACAAGGAGGGTCCGAGGACAGCCAGCCATGAGTCAGTCCCTAAAGGCACAGCACCGCCTTGACCAGGTGAGTTGCTGGGCCCTATCTGTTCAGTCACAGCACCTTGGTGGTATTATGGTTGGGCTGTTACCTGAAAGGTCAGAGGTGAGAACCCACCAGCTATCCTGCGGAGCAAAGACGAGGCTCTCTTGCTCTCCTAAAGAGCTGCAGCCTTGCAAACCCCTGGGGGCAGTTCTACTATATCCTATAGGTTGGCCAGGAGTGGGGATTAACTGATGGCAGTGAGCTTAGTGTTTTCAGTAGCTGTCGAGGTACTATCGGACATTCTAAGGAGTGCTACTGAATGTTGGTCTGAAAAAGAGGGGCTGGTTGATGGTATAGCGGCAGCACTGGCAGGAAGGACCCCTCTCCCAAATGTTCTGAGCTGTTTTCCTGAACGATACTCGAGGCACTAGATCGCATAAAAGGATGGCTGGCTCAATACGAGGATAAAGGCCCGATGAGAGGTACCCAGTCTCCTCTCGATCCTAGGTATGCCCTGCCTCACGGCGTCTCCCCTAATCACTCACAGCCGGTGAGTCCATTTCCACACACAAATCAGCCTTGGGGTTGGCCGTTTGAAACCACCACCTGCTCTGAGGGGACAAGAGGAGGCTTTCTGCCTGCCCCTCCCCCCCCAGCTCCCCTCACAAGTTACGGTCTCAAAAACTGACGGGGGACAGTTCTACTGTCTGATAGGGTCACTATGAGTTGGATGACCCGGCAGGTCATCCAAGCCCCGAGACCTGGAGTCACTTGCCTCAGGGCACACAACATTCAACCTGCGGAGCAAATAGGAGGAGCTCAGCCCAGTGCCATCTCCCTCTGGTCGGGGAGTCAATGTAGACTCATAAGGACCCTAGTGGACGCCAACGGAGGCTGGGAAGCAGGGGGAGGAGACTGGGCGGGGGGGGGGCGTCTGGTAGGCCCTCAAGCAGCACTCACTGGACGAAAGAGTAAGGCCAGAGGGGAGACCCCCAACTAGGGCTAAGCTAGAGCACCCAGAGGCTTGGAAGAGGCTTAGAGGCAAGGATGGCGAGACTCTGTCCTACCTACTTTGGACAAGTTTTCAGGAGAGACCAATCCCTGGAGAAGGACTTGATGCTCAGGCAAGTGGAGGGGCAGTAAAAGAGAGGCAGGCCCTTAAGGAGATGGGTGGACACCGTGGCTGCATCGATGGGCTCAGGCATAGGAACCACTGTGAGGCTGACACAGGACTGGGCAGGGTTTCCTTCTGTTGTGCATGGAGTCGCTGTGGGTCAGAACCGACTCCAGGGCATCTAGCAACCACACCACACTCAGAGGCTGGCTGTGGAAACCGGAGCGTGCAGCTCTGCTGGTGTGCAGAAGGTTTTCCGGGGCGAATTCCTCAGGAGTGGACAGCCTATGCCTTCACCCTAAATTATCCCTCAAGGAGATGGACGGACACCGTGGCTGCAATGGTGGGCTCAAATGTAAGAACAATTGTGAGGATAGCACAGCGTAGCAGGGGCAGTGTTT